AACACACACACACACACACACACACACACACACACACACACACACACACACACACACACACACACACACACACACACACACACACACACACAATGGCTTTTCTGAAGGCACAAAGCTACACAATAACACACACTAATGCAATGACTCAAAGGTGGTTACCTGGTGCTGTTTACCAGCAGACAGACAGGGATTGGACACACATTGAGGACAGCAGCGGCCTGGCTGGATCACCAGGTTCTCATGCTGAAGGCAGAGAAAAAGCAGTCAGACAAAAACAGGCCCTACAATAATGAATCCACTTTTAGTTGTATCACATACAGCACTATAAGCATTGGCATGTCTGTAAGGAAGCCTGGTAAATGCAATCCGACCAAGAGTTACGTAAGATAAGTTTCATCATGAGATATGTGTTTGACCCAGTTTAGCACATAGTCTGGAAACAGTCTGCTGGGCTGCTGAGAAATACATATTCCCACCACTCTTACACAATATACCTTAACCTGTGTAGGGAGGAGTTAAAACAATTTTGTACACTAAAAAGTGATGTACACAGCAGAGACAGTATGGTAGTCAAAATCAATTACATTTTTTTCGGGGTCATGCTGATTTTCTTTGTTTAAATATTGAACTTTATTCAAATGAATAAAATCCGAGTGCACTGGAATAAAAACAAATCAAGAGGTGGTTTGTATTTTTAAATCATCATTTCGAGCAATCTAGCAACAAAGCAACCTACAGTATAGGGGATGCGGTGGAATATCTGAGCTTTATAGATGGCTTCTGTTCCTGTTCAATGGATAAATAAATGATGTCTTGGAAAACAAGTATTATCTTTTATTCTGTCTAAGAATTTCAGGGCAAAAAAAGAAAAATAAGAAATAAATTGGGTGTTATATTTCAACTCACCGGTTTGCAGGCCACTTGCTGACACTCTGCTACCGAACACCGGACTTCCCCGTTGCTGCAGACACATCTGGAGCAGAGGCTTGGCTTCCACTCTTCACCGTCTCTGTATGCAGTGCCTTGCCAGGAGCAAGATTCTGAAACACACACACACGCACGCACGCACACACGCACGCACACACACACACACACACACACGCACACACACACACACACACACACACACACACACACACACACAAAAATAGACACAGAATGAGTAAACAGTGCAAATGGGTGTCAGGTAATGAGCTGTCTGTTGGAGCATTGTTTGCCCTGAAACGCACTGATTTACAGTGTGGGGGGAAAAAAGACGTCGCTAATTAGCTGCTAACTGTTTGGATGCATCATAGCAGCTCCGAGATGTCATTAGAGTCAAGTTTTTAGCTTTCAGCTCAACACAAGGCTGACTGCATTCCTAAATAGTCTTATTTAAAAACTGAACTATTTAAGAGGTTAGTAAACTCAAATAATAAAGAATCATCAAACTTTTAAGATATGAGGAAAAGAACAACGTAAAAAACCTAGAACAGTATTTATTTATTAGAGTATGCAGTGGTTGATTTGATGAGCATTGTTTGGAAAATCACTAAATGATCATCTGCAATAATGTGTGATGAGAATTCACCATCTTTAACACATTTTCATTACATTAACATTTCATACTCATGTTATCTTTATTTCTAGTGGAATCATTTACATTTTCATTGCAGTGGTGTGCAGATGGATGCACCAAACAGTTTGGACTCTATCAAATAAACATGGTTTTATGAAGCAATAAGTGTAGGAAATAAAGGAAGAAAAATGTTGCCCAGTAATTGCAACAATTAATTTCCACAGACAAATTGTATTTATTTGTTTAAAGATAGAGTCAAACACTCTGGAGTGGTTGGATTAAAAGGGTCAAGATTTGCTAAAAGGAGTAGCATCAGCAAAACCCATTTAAGGGTAGCTGAATGTGAAGTGGGAGCAGAGCTCATCTTTATCGAAAGAGGAAGTGGGCTAACCCGAGGCAGAGTGCTGCTCTGTAGGACAGTCTGCTGCCTCACACTCACACTCAGGTTTCCTGTGAGAGTGTGTGAAGGCAGTCCACAGGCCAAGCCATTGAGTGTGTCACTATCTTTATGTATGTGCTTTTTTTTGTACTCGGTTATTGGGTTTGCAGAGTTGTTTATGCTTCGTACTATTTGCAAGGCTTTCTTCAACCGACAGCAGCAAGTGACAGTAGGAACTGCCACTGTAAATATGTGGTGCTATTCATCCTGTCGTGAAGCAGGGAATAATTGACAAATAGGATGGCTGAGAAGAGAAAATCTCCCAGCAACAACAAATCTGTCAAAAGTGGAAAATGGAATCCAATTTCATCTAGTCAGAGAAGTTTTGTAAAACTTCAAGTTTTTATTACATTTGCAGTATTTGCAGTGCACACATTTTTAAAGAGCCTGTATTGTGTTTTATGGGGTTCTCTTTCCTGTAGTGTGTTATATAGGTTGTTGTGCATGTGAATGGTCTGCAAAGATTAAAATCCCAAAGTTCCCTCCAGAGAGAGTATCTGTCCCACACAATACCCCCCTGCCTGAAACTCCAATGGAATCCTTTATTTACTTCCGTAACATAGTGAAATCACTGTGTAACACTCGCAACAGTAGAGGCACGAAATACAAATATGAACCGGAAAATGAGCTGTCAGACAGACAAATGCTGTTGGAACTGAAGACAACAAATAAGCAAACATGGCTGTTGCGAAGAGGATGTATTTTGTTGTTTGAAAATGGCTGCATAGTACATCCAAAACTCCAACAAGCACTTCAACGCACCACACAGTTTTTTAAAACCTTCTCTTAACTGCCGTAAAAGTCAACACTGTAACCTTGATTGACTATCTGGAGTACATTTACAGTAAATATGTACATTTACATTTACATTATTAATCGCAAAAGGGCTTTATCATTCAAAATGTTCATGACTTTCTAAATACTTAATTTCATTGTTTTCTTTTGCTGTTTTAATTCATACTTTATAAAAATAAATATGTATTGGTGTCCTCGAGGATCCCAGAACTCTAAATTCCACCATGGCTGTTTTATAAGACAAACCTATTTAATTATTGCCATGGGCCCTAATACAAAGTATCACAAAGTATCGGGGGTAGGGGCACTGTCAGTCGTTTTCAAGGAGTCAGGCACAGATTTACATTTGGGCTCTGTCTATTATCTTTTTATACAATATGGAAATTGACCAAACTGTTTTATTTCAGAGTGACTGTGGCTCATGACGTTAAATGTGTCCTCCACCATTAGGTGGATACTTGCTTATATGCTATGTAAGTGTGTACGATTGTCGATTGCCTTTGATGAAAAGGTGGCTTCGTATTAATGTGTTTGAATGGATGGATGCTGACTTGGATACGCTTTAAAGGGTTGCAAAGAGTTGAAAAGTGCTATGTGAATGCTATAATTACCATTAGCATAATGTTTGTTGGAGAAAAAGTTTAAAGAGGACTTATTATGCTAATTTCCAGGTTCATATTTGTATTGCGTGTCTCTACTGCGACATGTTTACATGCTTTAATACTCACAAAGGTCTTTATTTTTCTCATACTGCCTGTGCTGCAGCACCCCTTTTCACCCTCTGTCTGAAACCAGAGCCCAGACTGCAGTTCTGTTGTGATTGGTCAACAGCTTAGAGATTTTAGCCTTTGCATACCATTTACATGAACAAAAACCTTTATAACAGACTACAGGTAAGGGAAAACCCAAAAGCGCATTATAGGGGCTCTTTAACTTTACGCTGATGATGATGTTTCCTGATGACATTCGGTAGTCCTTGTATTTGAAATCAGTTGGGCGGATGATATTCATGTGCAGACCATAACAAACAGTGGCTGTAAATCTTTATGTGCAAAAGAGCCTGACACCACCCTTACCTCCATTGCGGCCACACTTGGGGCAGCATTCTCCAGCTGGGGTGAACGGGCTCTGGTCCGAGGGACAGCTGAGAGGTGAGCAGGGGTGAGGGGTGCAGGACACACTACCTCTGGAGCAGACACATGCTGTACAGGGCGAGGGACTCCACTGGCTGTCATGCTGTGGGAAACACACAGAGATACACAGTGTCACACAGAAATACAACTTGAAGGGGGGAAAAGAGCGAAAGGAAGCAGAGACAGTGGGATGAGGAAAGCTGTTTTTCTCTTTGTGGACAAGACAACTTTGTTAGCCTAAGCCTGAGTGACAAACAAGAGAACCGAGTCACTGAGTCTATGGGAAGAGAGAAGGAGCGTGGAGTAAAAGGGTGAATGAAGATAAGGAGAAACACTGTGAGAGGACACTTCCTTCACTAATGTGTGTAAGAATGCCCTGTAACGATGTGTTTTGACTTTTGCTGCTACAGTACATACAGTATCTGTTCATTATTTCAATCAGTGTATACTACTAGTGCCTCTGGTCAGTGTGTGTTGTATAAAACCATGAGGTCTATTCTGTGAATGACAGATGTGAATTGATGGAATATATACTTACACAACCATCCCAGGGGAGTTAATTAGAGTACTTCATTGTTTTTCACTCTAAATTAGATATCAGAGGTGAGGATCTGACTTTACTCATTTTCTAAGGCGTCAGACTGTGCAGTAACACATTCTTCCGTCTGCATTAAATAAATCATAAGCATGAATTTTAATGGAGAATTGATTGAAATGATTTTTCCACACTGGAAAGAAGAGAACAGATGTCGGTGGTAAACAACAAGCAACATATTTGTTATGCTTTATGGGTCTTTTTATGGTTTTGGCATACAGCCAATAGGCTTTTGTCTACATAAATATTGAAATCCATCAAAATATGCTAAATTCACAACTGCAGTTCAGGGTAATGATTTGGAGCCAGTTTTTATGTTCTCAAACTCATACTTTTAAATACTCTGATACACTCAAATATCAGAAATTGGCTAATGATAGAATAGAAACCCCAAATATTCAAGCCTTGCATAAAAACATGCATCAGCTTTTGACATTTTTTTAGAGAAGAGTCTTTTTTCTGCCCTGGGTAACTTTCACTTACTGCATAAATGACTCCTTCGTACTGGCAGGAGCCCTGGGACGAGGAGATGCACTCCGGACAGCACTGGTTGGCAGGGATCCTCAAACGCTCGCCCTTTAGAAAAGACATACACAATGAAAAACATAAAGATGGCAAAAATGACAAATACACACAAATTCAAACAGATGAAGGTCCCTTTAACTAGCCTGAATAGAAAACGCAATTACAGTCTCTCCATTTCCATGGAAACTAACCGACATGTGACACAAATAGCACAACAGAACAGAGAATAATACAAATTTGAAGATTGGATCGGGCGTACGCAGTGTGTGTAGAATACATTGTGAGCGTGTGGAGTCGTTACAATACATATTACAATACTGATTCAACAGACATTTCTTTATCCTTGCTGCCTTACCGCCCCGAATAGAATCCAAATGTGGAAACGAGCAAGCGGGAAATCAGCGGGGGGCCATGCGCAGAGCGGGTAAATAGTTTAGGTGCCGTTTATTTGTGAATAGAAATGATGTGGAATGGGAAAAGAAGGAGGGGAGGAAACAATTTGTATAAGGTGATAACCCCCAAAGGAGCTTTAGAGAATGTAATGTGTCAGTCTAAAAAACTGAATGAACACCGAAGGGACAGCAAATCTGCAGCGTGAGACAAATGACATGTGAACACGCAGAAGAATGGCAACTAAATATATAAAAGTAGAACAAATAATAAAGTGCAGCCTATAACAGTTCTGACAGACAGAGGGTTTACATTATTCTTTCAGCTCCCTAGATCACCTACATTCAGAAACAATTTGAAGAAAAACAAGACCATCCACTGTATTTTAACAACATCTGCAAAACTATCCATCATAAAAGCCACTTCGTGCCGATAAATGAAACAGGGATAATTTTGAAGCTCTTGTGCTCATTTGTAATTTCCTCTACTATTCGTTTAAGTCCCTCTTGCTTTTTTCTTTCTGCTTCCTCTAATTCAATTACCAAAATATGATCGTAGCACATGCATTTGACCCAATTTCAGATTGTACTAACACAAGTAAAGGGGGATAGATGCTTACAAAATCAGGACTAAAGTTACATGTTCCATGTTTATTTTTTAATTGAATTACATTTTCTGAATTTGCCTACATTAATTGTATTGCTGCTGGTGCCATTTATGGTTTATATAAAAACAATACAATTGAAAGTGTTGTAGAACATATTAAGATGTGTGTGTGTGTGAGGTGAGAGCAAACAAAAAAAGCAATGTAAGTTTGTAGATACACAGACAGATGATAAAAACCGTAATACTTTTTTATCCCGGTGTAGGTGAGAGAGAGTCACATTTTAAGAGCTTTTTAAATAGATGGATCACACAGCTGGGCGAGCATGATGACAATTTCGTAATTAACATTGGATTGCTAGCCAGCAGAGTGGAATACATTAGACATTGATTGTTGCCTTAGCTCAGGTTTGGGATTGGATTTGATGGTGTCACCGCAGGCTTTGACGTTTAAATCACATTCAAGAAGCACAGGGAGGAACAGCCGGATAGTCAAATTGAAGAAGAGCTTTGAAAATATGTCCCTGTAAATTCAAATGAGCCAGTAAAAAAGCTAGGCAGGAACAGTTTCCAAACAGTTGTCATCGTAGCAAATTACATTTGCTGACTTCACTGCACAATAGTAATTTCATTGATTCTTGTTGTAAGGGCAGCTCACAAAGACGAGTGATTACCAAGAGACCTTCACTGCAGGTGAAATAGAGAAAGGAAGATTAGAAAGAAGGGAATCAGAATATTCAAGGCCATACTGTTTTTTTATTGAGTGTTTTATTCCGGTGCTGTCCTGTGGTTTATTTAAGTTATTTTACATTTTCTAGGAATATCTTTCTCAACTTCTAACAATGGGAGTGGTTCAGCATTTCTAACCGCACAAAATACACAGTGGTAGGTATGTTAACTTATTTCCATATGCTTTCACTCTTTTTTGTCCAATTCCAAAAAAATTAAATCAAATCAACCTTTGTACTACTTTTGCACGTTGTAAAACCAACAAAAAAGAACGAATCGAAAGCTTAAAAATAAGAGACTTACGCTGAAGCACAGACAGTGCTATAGGATTTTATGTTTTAGCAGGAAACCCTCTGTGTCCTGTGCTGACTTTTGCTAGCTTTTTTTTAGCCTATTGTGCTAACTCTTTTAGCGTTTTTTAACGTTTTGTGAAAGTGACCATCCGTCTTTTCTTAACTTAAATCTAAACTTTGTGAGCTGCTAAAATAACAGTTAAGCTAACACATAAGTTTACACTAGCAATAACTAGCAATAACAGTTTTGTATTGCTATTTTTGATACATTAATCCAAATAAAAATAATATTATTGCATTTCAACATAGAGGTTGAAGGGTAGAACCTTATGAACGTTAATGATGTGATAGATGTTATTGTATCTAAGGAGACATTAGCCTATCTGACGTTTAGCTAAACCTGTCTAAGCAGACTGCTTAAATCACATATAAAACTATATTTTTACTTTATAGTAATCATACCATTACTATATCATTTGAGCTGACAAGACAAAAGCAGGTTTACCTCTTATTTTTCTGTTGAAGAATGTAGGCTCGAATAAACCACCCTTACTGTTAAAAAATGATATCTTGCTTCTTCTCCTATAAAAGTCTTACCCTCTGGATATCACACTCTGGGTTTGGACAGTAGGTGGGCCTGCAGATGGCCACGTCGCTGTAGCAAGTACACTCCTGACACGACTGAGGCCTCCATGATGTGTTGTTCTGCGAAGACAAAACAAGAAAACCGACATGAAACATAACCAAGGGCAGGCTTGATTCATCGCCGCAATAATCTCTCTCTTATGCTTCATTATCATATCCAATATGGTCCTTAGTGCCATGTACATTTTTGAATTCATTTATTTTAAGCTCCAACCACCGGAATTTGTTATGATAGTCAAGAAAACTCTCCTGGTGAATTCTATTCAAATTCCAACAACATTTACCCCTCCCTCATCAACCTTGAAGTTTAGCCTCAGTAGGGTGGTCCTTCAAATTGAAAGTCGGAAAGTCTAAGCTCCAACCCCCAGAATGCATTCACCGTGGCTGCCACACCAGCAGCCACGGTGCTGCAACTGAGGCTAAACTTCAAGGTTGATGAGGGAGGGAAATTCCCCAGGAGAGTTTTCTTGACTAATAGAATGAATTCTGTGGGTTGGAGCTTAGACTTTCCGACTTTACATTTTAAGGACCACCCTAATATCCAAGCACACCTATATGTCATTTTAATGTTGACAACAGAGTCAAATGACAGTTAACATAAAGACCCCTGCGTGCATTTTAATATGATTGATGTTTTTTTTCTTACTTGCATATAATGTGAGTTAACAAGTTAAGTCTTAAGTAATTCAACATAAGTCTATTTTTTCCCCTTCTAAAACCTCTGATGATTTCTCTCCACTTGACAATGTAGAACAGACAAAAGTTTCATATTCAATTGAATCAAAACTGCTTCCACACATTGCATCAGTTTGTAGGTCCATAATAAAGGAATAAGGTTTTTCTGCTCTAGTTTACAAAATGTGACTACCACCAAAAAAATGTACACTTAAACTCTTATCATCCTCTTTACCTAAGGCTGTTAAGCGCTGATGGAATACAGTTGCAGGTGGAGTGAAACTGCTTCGGTTTTGAGTAAAACCCTTAAGCACCAACTACACAATGAAAAAGGGCAAAACAGGCAGAAAATCTCAAGATCACTTCGCTGCACCCTTGAATCTGCATGGTATTTGTCAATAACTCATAACACAGAGCTGAAAATGTCTTATGGCTAGCTTTAAGCCAACACTAAATCAATATTTCATCCTGCATATGCTCAGATATATCATCTTACAGGTCATAAATCTGTTTTAGCCAGATGATTAATTACCCACTCATGACAGCAATATCCACGTGCAGCTGTGCCTATGAGTGGACACATCGAAGCAGGGGGTATCCGTTAAATGAGGAGTATTTGCTCCATTTGAGACGGAAACCAAAGCAGACAACTTTAAGGACAGGAAACTTTGGCGTTAAATTTGCTAATAGTGCCGTGATTACCCAAGAGGCTTTAAAAGGGTAAACAAGACACCCGATGTTGTTGGATCTATGTATGTTTCCTGGCTGTGCATCTGGGTCCTAAACTTGCTAAAAATAATGATATAGGGAGGCTGTGGGGCAGTGATCTAGTGTGTCGGTGTTGGGATCAGGGGAGCACAGGTTCAAACCCCGCTGCAGTCAGCATGTCGTTGTGTCCAAGACACTTAACCCCAAATTGCTCCTGTGGGGATTGCCCACAGTATTGAGTCGCTTTGGATAGAAGCGTCTAACATGTAATGTAATGTACAGGGTTCATACACCTTTTCACCAATGACTTCTCAATGACCTTTACCTAATTTTCCATGACCAAAAAAAATGACCACTGAAAATGGTTTATTTTAACATGGAACAGGAAAATCAGGTCTGCATATGAAACATGTTGTGCCTATCTAAAACAAATCAAATAGTCGGCTTACTAGCTTCTACACGCTTAAAGCAACTGTAGTCAGGGATGCAAACTCATCAGGTATGAAAAAGGTGACAAGGATCCGAGCCCCCGGCTCCCCCACCCCACGGAATATCGGCTTTAAAATGAGGAATAACAGAGGATTTTAGCAGTCAGAACAACTAAAGCAGCAGTGTTAACAATAACAGAAACGCCAAAGAGTCACATCTAATAGAAATATATATAAGCATTTATTTTAATTGTGTAGCAGTCAGTTTATAATTTTGGCAGCACTGTTGAGCATTTTGAAAATGTATTTTCATGCCTCTGTGCAAGGCTTAGTCTTTTTATCTGTATAGCCACTGGTGTAAAGTAACTAAGTTCATAAACTCAACAAGTACTATATGTGGGTACAATTTTGAGATACTTGTACTTTATTTAAGTATTTCAATGTTTTGCTACTTTGAACTTCTACTCCACTACAGTTCAGACTGAGGTACATGGTGTACTTCTACTCCACTACATGTATCCAATACCTTTAGTTACTTACAGATGTGGATGAATGATGTCAAATATAATCAAGTGTTAAATCAGACTTTAGTTCCACCTGGAGTAAATCCACAAGCTACCCTTTAGTATACAAATTAATTCAAACTAGCTGCACCTTTACCAGCTTTGAGAACACCTTAATCAATCATTATAAAACATATATATATTATTCTGAAATGGACCAATCTACACAATGACTACTTTTACTGTCGCTACTTTCACTATATTTTTATGAGAATACTTTTCTACTTTTACTTGAGGAACATTTTGAATGCAGGACTTTTACTGTAATAGAGTATTCTCTCTGGTTCTTCTACTTTTACTCAAGTACAAGATCTGAGTACTTCTACTTTTATTAAGTACAAGATCTGAGTACTTCTACTAAAGTACAAGATCTGATTACTTCTACTTTTACTCAAACACAAGATCTGAGTACTTCTACTAAAGTACAATATCTGAGTACTTCTACTTTTACTCAAGTACAAGATCTGAGTACATCTACTAAAGTACAAGATCTGAGTACTTCTACTTTTACTCTAGTACAATATCTATACTTATACCACCTCTGTTTATAGCCTATGAAAAAAACTATTAGAAAACGTAGGCTAAAGCTAACGTTAGCAGATAGTGACAATGTATGCTAGCTAGTGTTAGAAATTAAAATCAATGTTGATATGGCGTAATTTGAATTAAATACACTATTTGATTTAAATCAGTTTTATTCTGAAAAACCGGAAGTTCTCACTATTAGCTTAACACTTTTATTCTGAAAATTCGTCACTTCCGGTTAGCATTTAGCATCTGGCGGAATCATACGATTTCAAACCTTGAACCAAGGTGAAATGACATGTGATGTTGTACACTGAGCACACTGGGATTAGCACAAAATGATTGACGCTGATAATGTGTGAGCAGGAATGGTTTAAATAACCACAGAAACGCCAGGAAATGATAATTAGCTACAGAAAAGGCAGAATGCAATTGACCGCCCCCCCGACACGCCGCAATAGAAAACTCAGATGAAACAGGAAGAGCAAGCCAAGATTGATCTCTTCGACCTCCCTGCCTGAACTGACCGGTCCCCCCCCCCCCGAATGTGGAGAGCGCCTCCCTATCGCACTTTCATTTGACAACCACGCATCTTTTTGATAATGCTTTCACTTTATAAGCTTCTTGCCTCTTTTTCAGTCCTCTCCTGCCTCAGGGTTCTAAATTGCTTCATAGTATGCTACAGCCCTAAAGGCCACCCTCCCCCTCAACGAGTCCTTAAAAGCAACTTCCAGGAAAGACACCTGTAATAAATGTTAGAAAATGAATGAAGACCTAGATTTTTCAAAAATATACAGAATATACACCTACAGTGACAATCTGCCGTCGTTTTTGTAGAAATGTTTCACTTCCGCATAAAAACAGCCGGCACTTGACTCCCGCCGTGTGACGTAACATGGGGGACAAGAGGAAAAGCGCGTGTACGTATAATAACATGGATTCCCATGCAGGTGTCGACACAGAAGACGAAGAAGTTGAAACATGATATCGATGCATATGACGACCATACCTTATAATTATGACCCCTGCTAGGCTCAGAACCAGGAGCAGCCAGATTAAGAAAATAACGCCATTGAGAGAAATTGAGCTGTGTGTGAGAAACCAGTTGATGAACTGGCGGTGCACGTTTTGAGTGACGGCGGTTAGCTACAGAATGTTAGCTAACGTCACACATCACAACATTGTAAAGTTAGCTATCATATATCAGGGACCTATAACTAAAGTAGACATGATAATATATAACGTTACTGCAGACTGTGATACTGACCTACAGAAACTAATGCGCAAGT